AGGACGTCGGTACAGGGGACAACGTGTGAAAAGGGATTTATCAATGCCAGGCCCTTACCGATATTTTCTTCTGTTGATTGGACAGTACGGACTCCTGCCTCTTTTGATGATTCGATTATTATTGTTATTATTTGTCGGTGTTGCGTGTGGTTTCCTTGGTTATTTGCTCTCTCCTCGCCCACACGCGCGAGAGATCACTGGTCATATTGCCGTTGGACAATCTGCTAATTTCCCCACAGCCTCATTGTTACTTCCGCCTTCTATTCCCCATCCCACTTTTTTTTTAATGTTTTGCTCTGCTTTCTTGCCGGCGCATCCAACGCAGCTAAACTAATAAAAGTAAAATCTGGAGGATAGACGGCAAGGAGGGACAGTAGGGAAGGGTGAATAAAACTAAGGAAACAGACGGTAGGGAGAAAAGGAAAAGCATAACCGTAAAGGGAAAGATCTACAAACGGCTACAACCACAGCAATAAGTGATCAGGAGTTTTTTTTTTTAAAAAAAAAGAGGCATAAAGAAAGGGACTATGCTCGTCCTAGATCCAAATGATCCAGCACTAGCACGGCGATTGGTTCAGCTTGCACAGGACGCCACTTCCATGGATAGTGCTAGCAGAGAGAAGGCAGAACGTGAAATCAAGGAGTTTCAGAATTGTGTTGATGAACAAACCGGGTTTGTTTTGTTGCTCCTCAATCTTGCCGTTACACCTGGGCCTGCGGCTTCCTTCTGCTCTATTGTTTTTAAAAACACAGTCAAAATGTGCTGGAACGCTGCAACAGCAGAGCATTGCATCACAGAGGGCGACAAGCAAGTTGTTCGTAGCACTATTACAGGGGCTATGCTTCAAGCTGCTCCCAACGTTCAGCGAAACCTCGCCGAGGCCACCACTCTGATAGCGGAGGTTGACTTTCCAAAGGAGTGGCCAAATGCACTGGATCGCATTATCCAAGTCTTGGGGACAGAAAAGGATATGAGGATGCACTGTGCTGCACTATCCACAGCCCATGGTATACTTGGGCGATACCGCAGTCAAGGCGATCTCTCTGAAGCTCTTGCAAATGATTTACGAATCATATACACGTCTTTTACTGCTCCATTGCTTTTGTCGATGGAATTGCTCCTGGGCGAAATGGAAAAGGGAGGTGCGGGTGCCAAGGCTGCATCTCACGGCTTGACGTTAGCTGTGGAATGTCTGCGCGACCTAACTACACTTGACCTTGGTGATGAGTTTATTTGGAACATGGAAAAATTTGTCGCCGTTCTTCTACGCTGTCTCCAGTTCAGTAGGCCCGACGTGGATGAGACAAGCTTGATTGAGCTGAAATCTGTGGTGATGGCGTGTGTGACGCACTTTTTGCTGCAGTTTTCGGAGGACTTTGAGAAGTACGCAAGCGAGTTTCTCAAGGTTGTCTGGGACACCATTGCATCTCCGCTGAGTCGTGAGCAAACCATGGACGACATTGTCATTCAAGGGATGAACCTTCTCTCAGCTGCTTGCCGAGGTCCTATGCGGGATGTCTTTAATAGTAGAGAAATTCTTGAAAATCTTGTGGTTCATGTCGTTTTGCCAAATCTTGCTCTGCAGCCGGATGATATTGAACTATATGAAACTGAGCCATACAGTTATATTCAGCGGGACATTGAGGGTAGTGATTTTCACACTCGAAGACGAGAGGCGGGGGAGTTGGTGCGATCTTTGATGCTGGCATTTCCTGACATGTCTGGCCCGCTTTTTATTGAACAGCTGCAGCAGCTCATGTTCGTGGCATCGGCAGGTGACTGGAAGGCAAAAGATTTATCTATTTATTTGGTATCTTCTCTTTCCCTCGGAGGACAGTATGCGAACCTTCAGAGAGGCGCCACCCAAAGATTGAGCAATCTTGTGCCCTTTGAACAGTTCTTGAAACAAAGCGTTCTTCCGGAGCTTTCAAAGGACGTGTCTGAACACAGCCCATTTATTATTAAGGCCGATTGTATTCGTTTTGTGGCGACATTTCGGGCACATATTGAACCCCAACTACTTTCAGATATCATAGCACTGCTAACTACATGGATCCGATGCCAGGATGTGGTGGTTCGCACCTACGCCGCAAATGCGGTGGAAAGGATTTTTACGCTTCAACGTCCTGGTCAACATGAGAACGTCATCACAGACGCAAATATGGGTGATCGGGTTGCACCGCTGCTGCAGTGCCTTTGCATGCGAGTTCAGGAGGACAAACAACCAAACGCCTACACAATGCAGTGTCTTATGCGGGTGTGCCAGAATTGCAGTCGTTGTGTAGCTCCTTTTGTGGGGGACATTATCACTTGTATAGTTCCTGTAGTCCGAGAGAACGCAAAGAATCCTTCAAATCCCCTTTTTAGTCACTGTATGTTTGAGGTGATTTCCAAGTGCATTCAAATACGCCCTGAGGATGGACCAGCTATAGAAGGTGCTTTGTGGGAGTCTATGATTTTTATTTTACAGCATGATGTGCTTGAATACGTTCCGTATACACTTCAAATTATGGCACAGCTTCTTGATACACGCGGCTCAGGTGCCCTGGAGCCCCCGGCACATTATCAAAACTTACTGGAGCCTCTCCTAATCCCCGACATGTATCAGCAGAAGGGCAACATACCTGCAGTTGTTCGACTTGTGGTGGCTTTCATAGAGCACTACCCACGCTATATTCACAGCAAAGGATTCACAGAAAAAGTCTTGATTATCTTTCGATCTCTGCTTCAGTACAAAAATTACGATCATGAGGGATTGAATATTCTCACTGCAATTGTTATGGCCTACCCCAAAGACATCATAACACCATATATGGGAAACGTATATCAGGTATTATTTCAACGTCTTCAAACCTCGCGAACACCAAAGTATGTACGTGTTCTCATCATATTTTTATCGATCGTGGTTACCTTTCATGGCGCCGACGATGTTGTGGCGAAAGTTAACCTTATTCAGAACGGACTTTTCTGGATGCTGCTTCAGCGCGTGTGGCTTCCAAATGTCCAAAAGATTACAGGAACTTTAGAACGCAAGGTGTGCGTGGTAGCGTTGGCCAGTTTGCTTGGTGAATGTGCAGAGCTGCAGCGTAATGCGGATGCCTGGGCGAGCTGTGTCGTTAGCTGTCTTAAAATGATTCATGGTGCCGTTGAAAGCGATGATATTACAAGTTTTACTCCAAAAACACACTCCATGGGGGACTTGAAACATCATATTGACGATTCTGGTTTTACAAATGTTTTTTGTCCCTTGCAGGGTGCTGTGCGGGCTCCTATTGACGTGTGTGCATCTGTGAAGCAGCCGGATTTGTACTTTCGTGACCGCATTCATCAGGCGTTGCAGGGTCCTAGTGGGCCCCATCTTAAAAACCTCTTGCAGTCTAGCCCGGAGTTATTGGCCATGGTGAAGTGAGAGGGGTGTTCCATTTGGTATGTAAGCGGTGTTGCAATGCGTTAGAGGGAGGGGAGGCCATAGCTGGGATTCGGTACGCTTTTCACATAGGCACCAGTACTTTTTTTTTAGGTCTCCTTTTTTAAATTCTCGCTCTCTTTTTTTATCTGGCATATATATATATATGCATCTGTGTGTGTGTGTGTGTGTGCTTGGTTCAGTAAGAGGGGAGGAAAATCGTGAAGTTAACGCACCCTCTGTGTCGTGTGAGCAGAGTGATTAATAATGCTTAAGTTGCTGACTGCGAGCGGTCGCAGCAGTGATTTGTGGTGCGACGTCCTGGAGAGAGTCAATTGGCTGAGTGTTGCACGGTTGCATTTGTGTGGTCTTTCCTTTTTTTTTTCTTTGTGCGTATTTTTTTTCCTGTTTTTTTCGTATGCGTTCACTTCATTTGTTTTTGGTGTTTCTTTCCCTTTGAAGTGGGAGGCCCGTCGTTAGTCAATGATGGTCCCCAAGGATACACGCGGCCATAGGCCGGAATAAACCGGGCGACTCGCTCTTCCTCCTTCATCTAGTGTACGGCTCTGAACCACTGGTTTTGCCTCTTTTCGGCGTACGAGGCAAAGCCGCACACCAAACAAAAGTACCCGATATATGTAGTGTTTAGGTGGCGAGGGAGGGGGGGGGGGGAGTCCTGATTGCACATTGCGCATGGCCACATTCCCGAGCTGCATCCGATTGCTGCAGCGAAACGTGGCTCGCGCTTCTCCCAGGATTCCGCGGCCAAGGCTGACCAGCAAGATTTGTCGTGGGCGAAGGTAAAGTATCTGTACCGCGGCATTTGGGTTGAGTCTGCGTCTGTGTGTTTGCTCTGCCGAATATGAGCATGAGTTTGCATCATGGATTTACATGCGACTTCATTCTTGTAAATCTGAGGAGATTTTTTTTTGTAAAGGTTACCAGGCGACCTACCAATCACGTTTCCCTTCTGGCGAGGACTTGCCGTGCTTTCTGATGGGCTGTTTGGGAGATCAAATTTGATCTTTCAGTGTCTTTTGTTTTGTTTTTTGTTTCTTCTTCTCTCTCTTTCCTTCTCATTTTTCTCCATTGGTTTGCTGTTGTTGGTGGGAGAGAGTTGGGGTGACGAAAGAAGAAAACCCATCTCCCGCGCCGCTTTGTGTATCGCCGTTTTTTGCTGCATTTTAGTAAATAAAGAGTGTGCTGGCACGGCAAAGGTGCAGCGAGAGAAGTAGAGGCCTCCCCGTTTCCGTTGATGCGGGGAGTCCTGGAAGGGTGAAGGCAATGGAGCGCGGGGTCAGCGGGCACCTGAAAGGGAAAAGGATCAGTAAGAGCAATAATAAAAGAGATAAACGTCCGGTGCAGATGCTGTTGGTGTGTGGTAACTTGAATGCGTCTTTGCTTTTGGATTTTGTGCGTTGTTTCTGTCTGTTGGACGGTTTCTTGTACTGCGCCTTTTCTGCTTCTTTTGGGAGGGAGTATATACTCCTAGTGTTTGAGGAACGAATAAGTGAATAAGTTAAGCAAAAAGTAAAAAGGAGGACGATCCCGTAGTATTGTCAATGACAGTTTGTGTCACTGCCACACCACGCCAGTTTATGGAGGATGTTCTATTTGGCGCCAATAATGAGGTGATCTCCGTCAAAACTAGGGATGCGTCTCCGCTGGCAGGTGTAATGAAGGGAATGATTCTCAGCTCCATCAATGGCAACCCTGTGGGTCGAGCAGATGACGAGCAGAGGCGGCGGCGTAATATGGGGGACGAGTTAGTGCTACTCTTTGTGCCTGGAACCCCCGCGGGATGTGATGAGTTCGACCTCAATTCCGGCGAAGATGAAGATAACAACTTTAATCAGAGGAATCTGGACTTTGACACACCCAACCAAGACGACGTGTCAAATTATCCAAATAGCACCGATGTGCTTCTAGACGCCGCGGAAAAGGCTGGACCTGGTAGGTGCATTATTATTATGTGCGAGGGGGTAAATCCAGGGTATGCCATTAGCGTCAGCGCCGAGCGGGCGTCGTGCACAGTGATGTATATTAATGCGGTTGCCCGTCTCAAAACTCGACAATCTCTCTCTCAAACCGCTGAAATTTTTAGTAAGTCCCTTCAAAAAGGTCTCTGGATTTACATTGAGCAGGCAACGAAGTCTATCTCTCTCCTGCATAAACTGGCGGAGTGTATTGCGGAGGCCCAAACAGAAGGTGTCATTCACACCAAGGCACGTGTTTTTCTCATGTGCGAGCCTCATCCACACTTTCCTGAGGACCTGCTTAAAGGGAGTGTGACGTTACGCAGCACGCTGCGTCGTGGTGGTGGTGAGATGCAACTTGATAATAATTTGCTCGAGAGTCGCGTAGGGCACTCAGTGGTGCGGGATGGCGCTTTGTACCCTGTGGATGCACTGCCAGAGCATACAGGAGGACAACGACGTGTTAAAATTTCCCACGAGGTGAACATTGTGCCTTTGGAAAAAAATACATTTATGGAGCTAAGTCAGGGTGCTAATCCTGCGATGGAGCGCGAAACAGCAACTGGTGAAGGTATCACTCGCTTTGCCAAGTATGTGTTTGGTGCAAATGAAAAGTTTATTTCTCTTTGCAAAGTCAAGGACGGACGATACGCCGTAGGTACAACGGGAGGTTACGTTTTAATTTTGGATGCAGATGGGCTTCCGCTCATTCAGTTTCGACCACACAGAGCGTGTGTATGGGATGCTGCCTTTGTCACCCCCTACGATTTTGCGACAGCCTGCGAGGATTGGACCAGCTCTATTTTTAACTACTCCTTGGAACGTCAGGAACTCTCGGCGACATCGGTGCTCTCACTACACGGTGACGTATTTGCGGTAACGTATGCCAACCCAGATGACCCTCAAAGCGCTGTTTTATCTGGAGGACTGCCTTCTAGCGTCCGAGTCTTGCATTCGGATCGTCAGACCAGTTCCATGATTCCTGTGGGGGTTTCCACACAAGCCATGCGTTCTACTCAACGAGGACATGCGCTTATTGGAGGTGGTAATGGTGCTTGTTTCTTGGTTGATCCCGGCAGCTGCACGCTGCTTGAGACGACAACTCGTCATCAGCGTAAGGTGCCAGCTGTGTCCTGTTTTGGCCCCATGGCTGTGACAGGGGGGTTTGATAAGATGATTCGAGTCTGGGATGTGCGAAGTAGTTTTCGTATGGTAAGCGAGAGAGCTGTGTCAGAGGTTATTACCGCTGTCTCGATATCTGATAAATATGTGGCAGCGTGCAGTGGGTCCGATCTTCTTGTGTGGGATTTGCGAAGAATTGTCGCCCCTTTGGCGATCAAACAGAGAGCATGGAAGGATCTTACGCGTGGGCTTATTATGGACGGGGATGTTATCATCACTGCCTCTGCTGACGGTGTGGCGCGGTTTTGGTCGCTTGGAGCGATGGGTAACTTGTAAGCCGTCCAAGGGGCGCCGGAAATATTTGTATTGTGCAGGTGTGGTTGCGATTCCTTCTTGCTGCAGCAAAAGCACACCATTTTTTTTTTTTTTTTAGGTCAAGTCCTTATTTACTTTTCTTGTCCCTCCAAACTGTTGTACTCATCTCGCTACTAATCACAAGAAGCGAGACCAAACAAACAAGAAACGGAAAAAAATAAAACGGAACAACAACAACCCAGATGAACCACAAAAACAACTGGAAACAAACATGTAAACAAAAAGGACGAGAAACACCACGGGTAAGCAACGCACATATATATATCTATATATCTATATATCAGAAAAAAAGGTGAGGAAGTATGCGCTGCATTCTGGTCGTCACGACCGCTCCTCTGTTTATGGAAGGGTGTTGGTGTTGTCTCAGCGCTGCAGCGCCCACTACTGCTCGACTGAAGTATTTTGCTACCGTGTGGTGATCACAACGGTTGGTGCAGGATACTGCATTCAATGGGGTTGGCTAGGAAGGGAGGAAGGATGTATCAGTTAATTTTTTACGTGCACCCTTCTACTTTCACCTTT